TTTATAAAACTAAACTGACAATCAAGGCCTTGTGTGTTTTTGTTGTGGTTTTTTTTTTGGTCTTGCACAGTGTGACAAGTTACACAGTTCCGGTGGAATGTTCTGTTCAAGGACTATAGGAGTTTTTACAAAGCAGTATTCTTCTGGGAATTGAAAGTCAGATTTTCTAATATAGAATTCCTCCTTTTCCTTTCAGAGAAAGCTAACTAGAAGGGTGTACGATTGTTTAGAGAGTCAGCATTTACTAAAGGAATGGAATGCCAGGAAAATAGATCTTTAAATCAAACACTACAATGCTGGGTCTGTTCAGCTGTTCTTAGTACAGCTTAGGCATCTAATGTGGTTTTCAGTACCACTGGTAGAGTCATGCCAGTTATGCATGAGTGCACTTCCTTACAGAAGTCTCTTAAGTCAAGTAGGTTACATAGATCCCAAAATAGCCCTTTCTTGAAGGGAAATAAATCATATGTTGTTCCTCTGAAAACTTATACTAATGGTTAGCAATGTTCTGGCCTGTAGGTACATGGAGGCCATGGACAGTGTCTGGTAATGATTTAGTCACGTACTGAAGCCTCCACCTGCAGAAGTCACGAATGAGCTGGCTAGTTTTGAATGGCCAGCTTGATGCACCATTTGGATTTTAGGAAGTGCTCAAGCACTTCTTACCATGTAGCAACAAAATTAATTAGTATTTGAAATTGGACATTGAGATGCCAAAAAAACCCCAAATCCTGTGTAAAGGGGATGCTGCTTATTAAAGCAGAGTTAGTGAAAAACATGCTGGCTGCTACTTATAATTGGCAGACTGCAATACTCCATAATAGTCCTAGTCAACACCAGGATCTGCCTTTTATTAGAGGAAAACACTACTCTAACCGCTTATGTGTTAACATTATCAACTACAGGGAAGTCTGTTGGGTTTTTTCTTAGCAATAAATGGATGTATTAACTTTTTCATATTACGGTTTTAGTTTAATCTTGCAATGCAAAAACTGTAACAGCAAAGCTAGTTTAGCATTCTTGCTTTTTTATTCTCTTTTCAATTGAATGTGCAATAAGCTTATGTTCAGAAAACAAGAAACCCTGTCTAAAACTCAGTCTGAAATAATGGTATGTCATACTGTCAATGAAGTTTGTAATCATTTGATGGCTCTAGACTAACAAATATTTTCAGTTCTGTAACCTTTCAGCTTTATAACATTCCTGCTTTTTCCTGCTTCAGAGCAGCTTGCTGCTCTACCAAATCTCAACGGAAGGCAATCAAATGTTGCAAACATGCCAGTTAGATAACCTCAATTGAGCTAACACTCGTTCTTACATTCATAGGAATTTTCTCTGTGTAACAGGTTCCCCTATGATAATGGAAGTTTTCTAGCCCTATTACAGGTGGTTTTTTATTGGTAAACTAAATGTAGATGCCATGAGCAATGCATTGCTTGAAAATCATACAAAACGCTGGTTTTAGGAGCTCTGTTCTGGAATTCTAAGCCTTTTGTTCACTTTTTTTCTTATCTAACTGTTCTGCAGCTGAGCAGATCACATTTGTTTGTCTGGTGCACTGATCTTTTATGAAGCCAGTCCTCTAATCAGGCCATCTGAATGAATGGCACTTCTCAAAGAACAGAGGGAGGCTTAATCCAGATCTGAAACTTGGGACTGGCTTCCTTTCAGAAACTGCAAGTTTGGGTGTTTGGTGGTTTTCTTTTTTAAGTTTAGGTGATGGACCTTAAGGCAGTAAAAGCTCTGCTCTTACAAGGAAGTGAAAATAATGCTCAATTGTCAGATTCATGGGAATTGCTCTTGAATGCTTTGTATGCTGTTGTTCATTCCCTGCTTGCTATAATCCTCTTTGTACCCTGTTGAAGCGCACTGCAGCTGGGAGTTTTTTTAGCCCAAGCCTGGTTAGAACCTGCTAGAGAAGATGATGTGGCACTGTGGTGTTAAACTCGCTCCCTTCAGCTTCTGCATTTTGCTTTGATGATTGCGTTAACACTAAAAATTATCTCTGACTTTGAACTTCCCTATAACTAAGCCTAGAAATGGCATTTTCATGCTTAAGCAAAG